AATGGTACGTCCGTCCGTACATATGGGACCCGCGCCCTGGTTCTCGAGTTCGCCTCTCTGGGTCGCTTTACGTGGACTTTCCTCATAGCGGATATGGAACAACCCATTCTTGGATGGGATTTCCTGCAACACCATCGACTTATGGTGGATCCCGCAGGTGCAGTACTTCGAGCCTCTCCTAGTACCTCTACACAAGTTAACATCGTCACCCCAGTCGCATCTACGGAACTTCAAGCACTCCTGGATGAATTCAAAGATGTGACCCAACCCGCCAGCCCTCGACCAGAGGTGCAACATACGATTACGCATCACATTACTACAACGGGAGCACCTACCTTCGCCAGACCACGCCGCCTGGCACCGGAACGACTGGCGGTAGCACGTGCTGAATTCAATAAGCTACAGGAGGCGGGAATAATCCGCCCTTCGAACAGTCCATGGGCTTCACCTCTCCATATGGTCCCGAAAACAGCCCCAGGGGAATGGCGCCCTTGCGGAGACTACAGGGCTCTCAACGTTCGCACTCTGCCGGATCGCTACCCAATACCACACATCCAGGATTTCTCACAGGGATTGAGCAGCGCAACCGTTTTTTCGAAAATTGACCTTGTGCGGGCATTTCACCAGATCCCTGTGGAACCGGCAGACATTCCGAAAACAGCGATCACAACACCTTTTGGACTGTTTGAATTCGTCCGGATGCCTTTTGGTCTACGGAATGCAGCCCAGACATTCCAACGCTTCATCGACCAAGTAGTTAAGGACCTTCCTTTTTGCTACGCCTACATTGACGATCTGCTGGTGGCCAGTACATCACCAACAGAACATCTGCTACACCTCCGACTCCTTCTCACCCGTCTGTGCAACTTCGGCTTGCAGCTCCACTCCGAGAAGTGTATTTTCCATGTTCCAGAGCTGGATTTCTTGGGACACCGTGTGTCAGCAGCAGGGGTCCAACCACTAGAGAAGAAAATCGAGGCAATCAAGTAATTCCCGCGCCCATCTACTCCAAAGAAGTTGCTTGAATTTCTTGGTGTAGTGAATTTTTATCGTCGATTCATCCCACATTGTTCGGACATCTTGCGACACTTATACGACCTCTTACGAGGTCGGAAACTCACGTCCCGTCTTCCGTTGGAGTGGACTCCCCAGGCAGAGACAGCATTCACCGACATAAAACACAAGCTGGCGGAATTCACCTTGCTCGCACACCCAGTGTCTGACGCTCCCACCAATCTATCTACCGACGCTTCAAACACAGCAATTGGTGCTGTACTACAACAGCTCGTTGAAGGAGAATGGCGCCCAATTGCATTCTTTTCAGCGCGCCTGTCACCCACTGAAGAGAAGTACAGCACTTTTGATAGGGAACTGCTCGCCATCTACTCAGCCATACAACATTTCCGGCACTTTCTCGAGGGGCGGAACTTCCACATCCTGCACAGACCACAAACCTCTCACTTATGCGCTGGCGGCCAAGGGTGATGCTCACTCTCCTCGAGTAGCCAACCACCTGGGATTTATTTCCCAATTTACCTCGGATATCCGTCATGTCAAAGGAACTAATAATGTCATAGCCGATGCACTGTCTCGACTCACCATAAACCACGTCGTGACAAACCCAGCTCAGGTGGACTATTGTGTAATCAGTAAGGCCCAACGGGAAGACCCTGATCTGCAGCGATTACGAACATCTGACACAGCTCTCCGGTTCATCGAGATTCCCATGGAAGGTGGCGGAAGGATAATCTGTGACACCTCACGGACGGGCGCACTTAGGCCCTACATTCCTGCCCAGTTTCGCTGGAAAACGTTCTCAGTATTTCACTCCCTAGCACACCCAGGAGTACGTGCTTCCCAGAAACTACTAACGGAGCGTGTTGTATGGCCACGAATCAATGCCGATGTTCGACGATGGACTCGCTCATGTCTCCAGTGCCAGCGAGCGAAAACACATCGTCACACAAAGAGCCCTCTTCAACAGTTTCCGTTACCTTCTGACCGTTTCGAGGTGGTGCATGTAGACATCGTTGGACCATTACCGTCGGCAAGAGGATATTCTTATCTACTCACCTGCATCGATCAATTCTCCAGATGGCCGGAAGCAATCCCATTAATCAACATCTCAGCTGAGTCAGTGGTCCAGGCTTTCCTCTCTGGATTGGGTCGCCCGTTTTGGCAGCCCCTCTGTCATCATCACCGACCGAGGACGACAGTTCGAATCATATCTATGGAAGGAACTTATGGAATTCCTCGGCACCACACATAACCGAACCACAGCATACCACCCTGAGTCGAACGGAATGGTAGAACGCTTTCATAGACAACTAAAAGCTGCCCTAAGAGCTCAAGCATGCCCTGATGATTGGATCGACAACCTTCCATTAGTCTTGCTTGGCATCCGTTCGGCCACGAAGGAGGGCAGTGGATTCTCGGCAGCAGACTTAGTATATGGATCTAGCCTGCGGCTTCCGGGCGAATTCTTAACCTCAACGCCACTTATCACACCCCCAGACCCCACTTTTGTCCAGAAATTACGGGCGGCCATGACAAACATTCGGCCTACACCACCACGCCAACCGACTTTTTTTTTTTTTTTTTTTTCACAACCTGATCCTGCGACGACGGACGATCCTGTGCGACCTCCCACCCTACGACCCCAGTTAGATGACATCAGCGAAGAGGAGGAAGTTAACTTTGATGGTTATGTAACGCGAGCAGGGCGTACAATTCGCCGACCAGCTAAGTTCCTTGATCAAGTATTTTTCCTTTCATCCCCTGGGAGGGGGAGTTCTGTAGCGAGTAGATTATCCCAATAATATACTCGCTCCAAATGCATTGTTAATATTCCTGTCAACCTTTGGAGATGAATGAGATGAGGCGTTGCCTGGGCAACACGGTGAGGTGTTGCCCGAGCATATAAGCAGCGGTGTAGCGAACATTGGCTAGTCTACTTTCAAGTGTGGTCTAGAGCAGACACTTGCGAGATACTGTACCGACGCTCAGTGCGCTCAACTCACACCAAAGTATCACCGGTGTACTTCTGTATATTCGACCAAATATATATATAGTATCTTAGTGTCTGTGTTTATTGTCACCATACTTTACGTAACACAGTTCGTTCATGCTAGGCTTGCGGTTAGACAACTGGTCGGGCTCCGGTTTCATAACTTATCGGGTTCCGATTACATAACACCAGTGGTGTGACTTGTTGGGCTTTGGGTTGCACGTGGTTGTGCTCCGGTTCGTACATGGTTGTGCTCCGGTTCGTATATGGTTGTGCACCAGTGGTTGTTTGTGTATTAGTGCTCCAGTGTTTGTTTGCAAGGGCTCTGTTTATATGTTTCCTAGAAATTTGAGTTTCTTTTTTTATATATAGTTCAATTGTTTGATATGGCTCCATAGTTGGTTTCTAGGGCAAGTGAAGGGTTTTAGGTAGCTCTAAGCAGATTTTTGTGTGGTCGAGCTAGGAATGGAGGACTGTTTAGCTTAATGGTGGGGGTTGGATGAGATGTATACGTGCTAGGCTTATGGTTACACAACTGGTCGGGATCCGGTTACACAACTGGTGGGGCTCAGGTTACACAACTGGTCGGGCTCCGGTTAATAACTGGTCGGGCTCCGGTTAAATAACTGGTCGGGCTCCGGTTAAGTAACTGGTCGGGCTCCGGGGGTGTTACCTGAGTTTTGGGTTGTGCATGGTCGGGCTTCCGTTCGTGCATGGTTGTGATCCAGAGGTTGTTTGTTAGGTTCGTTCATGTTAGGCTTGCAGTTACACAACTGGTCGGGCTCCGGTTACACAACTGGTCAAGCTTCGGTTACACAACTGGTCGGGCTCCGGTTACACAACTTGTCAGGTTCCGATTGCATTACTCCGGGGGTGTGACTTGTTGGACTTTGAGTTGTGCATGGTTGTGTAGGGTTCGGTGTTCAATGAACGAAAAGGACATGAGCAGTTAAAATTGCGAACGCATACCAACGAATAACGCTAGTATCTATATAACAAATTTATTGTCCTGTGGAGTTGATTTAACTTCCAGACACGTTTTGTTTAATAAATATTAAAGATTTAGTGGCTGTTTATGAAAGATATTGTATAAATACACATTCTACATCTTAATATCAACAATTAAATTTGCGACAATTTGACCCATGAAATGCGACGACTGGATCACTGTGTACAGGAGGCTGATATGGCAGCAAACACTCTTCAGGCGACCATATATCTTGGATAAGTCGCTCCACACCATTGTCGCTTGGACCGTCGACTTCCTATGGCGTCACCTAATAAATTTTTGAGATATTTTGAGATATATACAAGAGTTGTTACATTCTTGTACAGCCACTAGTACGCGTAGCGTTTCGGGCAGGTCCCTGGAATACGATCCCCGCCGCGAAGAATCGTTGTTACAACCAAGTACACATTTTACTGTTGAGTTAAACAGAGGCTACAGTTAAGGAATTGCGCCCAGTAAATCCTCCCCGGCCAGGATACGAACCCATGACATAGCGCTCGCGGAACGCCAGGCGAGTGTCTTACCACTACACCACGGAGACTGTTTAAAATAATAAATAAATATGTTTATTCAGGTAAGGTACATACATACAAGTGATGTTACATTAATGGATTGATATATAGATAGAGCTAGTACATACAATGCCTAAAGCCACTATTACGCAATGCGTTTCGGGCAGGAAAAACATTAATATCTAGAACTTAATACTAATTGAGCATAAAGAATAAAAAGTGTTGAGAACAAATACAAATAAAGATAAAAAAAAAGGGGGAACATGACTGAAAAAGCAGCACAAATACAATAGGTTGACAAACAGTGTTGATTAAAAAAAAAAAAACCTCTCACATATTTACGTCTCATTTCGTTATGAAATTAGATTATTTCAGAGTAAAAATAGGTTTGATCATGTTCTACGTGTAGCACCAACATTATAGTAAGTAAATATACCATATTTCTTCATTACTTACGTAATGCTAGGACGATTTGTGTAGTTTTGGGCCGATTTGGGTAATTCTATGGACCGGCGTGGGGTGCTGGAGTGTAAGCGACGGGCGCCGTGTTTACTAACAAGCAGTGGGACGGCATGGCTGCGACTCCTACACCTGGCAATCTCTTTGATGAGTTTGAAGAAGCTTTTCAGGTGAGATAAATATGACCAAGATGATCACGACCTGTGAGAAACGTGACGATTTTATGGATCAAATCTGTGAATTAACCATCATGTCTACCGACTTGTCGGAGAGAGGTAGGTACGGGTCCGTTTAATTACCACAAGCTTACATAAGCTTTACAAAGCTTCCTGGCAATACGTTAGTAATGAATAAATATGATATGTTAGGTTAGTCTGACCTAACCTAACCTAACCTAACTTAACCCTAACCTAACCGACGCTTGGATCGTCGACTTGATTTGGCGTCACCAGCTCTTTATTTTCTTCCAATTTCTTTATAAAGATACTTTTTCAGATTAAAATTATGTTTTTTCGTTTTGTACATTCAGCACCAACATTATAATGAGTAAATATATCATATATATTCATTACTAACGTATTGCCGGGAAGCTTTGTGAAGCTTGTGTAGCTTGTGGTAATTAGACGGACCGGTAGGTACCTCTGTATGCGATGGAGCTATAACTTGCCAAAATTTCGTACTTTAAATGTGACATAATCGCCATGACTTACTTCACAGATGGATCAGTAGACTAGCAGGGACAAGAAACCGGAGCTGCAGTTAAAGCAGGAAACTCTCAAATGGGTGTTCAACTTTACAAACAGAGATGCTAGCCATTCAAAAGGCTTTGGAACATGCTCTTGCTGAACACCGACATGTTATCATACATACAGATTCGAGAACCGCCATTGAAACCTTGCAACAAGAACACATATGTGATAACATCCATCTGATCACAAATGTCATATCATTAATGCAAACACTCAAACGACAAGGCCGACGGGTACTTATCAACTGGGTGCCAAGTCATGTGGGAATAATAGGAGATGACATTGCAGACGAAGCTGCAAAACTTGCAACTAAGAGAAGAATTGTAGACATTTACATACCACAGAGTCTATCACAGATTAAGAAAGTAATTAGAAACAGAGCAATGCAAAAGATGTACAGTGACCACAACACAGCAGTTGCAACATCAGGATCTGCAGGTTGGTACAAGAATTCAACCTACTATGAACCACTTAGTTTGATGAAAGGGAACAGTAGAGCAACAGAAGTACACTTACATCGCATCAGGCTTGGATACTCATGTGCATGGGAAATAGGCTTACAGGTTCCGGAAGATGAGAGGAAATGTCAGCACTGTGGAGAAATACCCGACAGACCACTGGAACATTATCTAACAGTGCACAGTTACAAACCCATTAAGATTTCAACTTAGATTCAACAGAGCAGAAGAAGTTGTTAAACACATATGGCAAAATCTTACTGAAGCGACCATACGAGTCATAAATACTCATACTCCGCCCAAGTAAAACAGAAACAAGCAACACTTAGTAGGCCAGCCAGAGGCTTAAGGCCTGCACAGGAATATCCCTGCAAAAAAAAAAAAAAGAAAAAACTAATGCACCCGTTCAACTAGCAGTAAATAGGTACCCAGGAGTTAGATTGTTGTGGGATTGCTCTCTGGGGAGGGTCAGTAATTCGACCCTAGGGGGAAAACCATAATATATTTTTTTATTTATTTATTTATACAAGTTCTTACATTCTTGTACAGCCACTAGCACGCACAGCGTTTCGGGCAAGTCCTTAATCCTAAGTTTCCCTGAAATACAGCCCGCCAAAACAATTAACAACCAGGTACCTATTCCTGCTGGGTGAACAGAGGCTACAGTTAAGGATTGGCGCCCAGTCAATCCTCCCTGACCAGGATAAGAACGCAGGCCAAAGCACTCGCAAAATGCCAGATGAGTGTGACATGTAAACATGTAAATAAGCCTAGCATGTAAACATGTAAAAATAAACATGAAAACATATAAAGTAAGCCTAACATGTACTGTATATATATATATATACACTGGCTGCCTGTCCCCTAACACAATGAATTACTGTTCTGTATTATGATTATTGTTATTATTATTATTATTATTATTATTATTATTATTATTAGTGCACATAGGATTATTGGAAAAACCTTTTAGTGTTTATCGTATTACTTCTTGGAATGTGAAATTCTTAGGGATAAGTTATGTGGGATAAATATGAACATTTAATTGCCGCAACAGAACTTCGGAGAACTTGAAGCAGCTGTATTACTCTTCATACAGTTGCTTCAATACAACTTCAATTTAATTTCCCATGTAATGCTCAGGCAATTGAAGTATTTTGTTTAGGCCATTTTGAAGGGTTCATAACATTTGTTTAGAACATTTATTCTTTTAGTAATTTAGCACCATCTCCAATCATGTTCACATAGGGCTTGATTCTTGATCCTTGAAGTAATTTGTTAATATATGTACACTGTAAATATTACTGAGGTTAGAGCTGATCCTTGCAAGACTTAGCTAGATACTTTACTCATGTTTAATTTACAGCCTCTAATAATAATAATAATAATAATAATAATAATAATAATAATAATAATAATAATAATAATACAGGTAATAATAATTTTTGATTAAAAAGAATATGTATACAAAGAACATAAGAGTAATGCACAATTGTATGGACTGGAGTTACACATGCTAATGTAGTCACTATTAAGCAAAGCATTTTGGGCAAGGATAGCCCGAAACCATCATTGTATAATGATCATTGGATAGCTAAGTTGGCTCTTGTTTAATATGTATCAGTAATTGACATATTTACATATCTTTTCAGAATTGCATGGCACCTCTCACAAAGGAAGATAGTTTTAATGCTGTAAACCAAGAAGAACTGAGAACAAATGCAGAATCAAGTGGACAACGCTTCCTGGACTTAGCCAGACAAATGGAAGCATTTTTCTTGCAAAAACGCTATTTGTTGTCAATTCAGAAACCAGAGTTGATTCTTTTTGAGGTATAATAATTATAACTGATTTAAAAGTACAGAAGTTCAGCATAAATTATATATACTGTTTCATCTTTCCACTTTGACATTTTTTAACTAAATAAATATTATAATGATAATTCCAACATATATTCTATCCTGTATTAAAAGCTAAGAGCTACATTCTTAACTCAGCTCATTTAAATTGTTCCTAGGATTTGCTTTATTTTGAACTTAGTTTAAAGTGTTTATTTAGTGCAGACGAAGAGTCACAATAACGTGGGAGAAATATGTTGACCAAACCACACACTAGAACGTTTTGATCCTAGTCGAAAATTGTGTCGATCCCACAAGCGACTTGAGAGTGGTCCAGGACAGACCGAAACTTCGTCGTCCCTTCACCTTCTAGTGTGTGGTCTGGTCAACATACTTCAACCACATTATTGTGACTCATCGCCTGCACACACTAGAAAGTGTAGAGATGACGACATTTCGGTCCGTCCTGGACCATTCACAATCGACTTGAGAATGGTCCAGGATAAACCAAAATGTCGTTGTCTCTTCCCTTTCTAGTGTGTGGTTTGGTCAACGTGTTTATTTAGTGTTAAGCTAAAGTAATATTAAGTACAAGGTGAAGTTAAAGATATTTTTGGGGAAGAGCTTTTAGTTGGTATGTTAATGTTGATTTCTTAGACATTTATTTACTACTAGGACATGATCTAAATGCAAGTCAGGTGTGGTATGATCACTGATTCACTGATGTAATTGTGAATATCAGCTGGAGTGAAACTATTATGTTATAATAGCCAATTTCTAGTTATCCTCGAAGGTGGGCCACAAAACACTGGTGCTGTTCCATATGGAACATAGGGTTCGGAGTACACATTTACTCTCAAGGAAGGTGTGATTGTAGAGATGGGAAATGTAGAGAGATTCCCAGAAAAAATTAAACACTTTATCTACTGGGACCGAGTTTAATAAAACACTAAAACTGTACTCCTCGGAATGGAGATACTAGTGACATTTCATAATATACACATGCTAAATACTGGGAGGTCAGGATCCAAATCTGTAAAATAAAATTACAACTTACTGGAATAAGAAATATGGCAGGGAGTGCAAACTAAATCCAGTGAAAAGTCTGGGTGGCATGAACACAGTAAAGGAACAATGTAAGCATAAGAGGCCCATAGGTTTTCAATCAGTTTGACAACAAATATACAAAATGTCACTGAGAGAACATTGGAAGCTTTCAAGAATGATGTTTCAAGTTTCTACTGAAGTTACTGGATGAGCCTGGCCATGATGACTGTATGAGCCAGTGAGCTATGAAGACATTACAGCTGCTCATACCAGGGAAGTATATTATACCATACTCATATATTTGGGAAGAATAGTCCAAGGCCTTATTGTGGAAGTACAACTCTCAGAATTGTCAACAGGTAAACATGGAAAATCTTGAGAACTATATTTATGTACACTATATAACTTTATTGGCATCAACATCTTTATGGCATTAAAAACTCTGTTGAAAGGCCAGGATGGGTCAAGGCTTGAAGTAGTATCCTTGTGCAGTTGTCTACCTTGTTCAGAAGTCAGAGATAAAATTAGGACTGACATGCCAAGAGTGCTGAATACACAAGGTATGAGAAAACTTTCATTTCATATGGAGGTTCATATGTGTGGCTGTTAAGCAAGTACCGTACACAGAAACACCAAGATGATTGTTAAATTTACCATATTTGGAGACAACATTTTGCCAAGAAGGCCTCAATAAAATACTAACTCCTATTCAGTGTCATTTGTTTTTACTTCCTTTTCCTATTTCAGGATATCGTAGAAATGCGTACCGAGTTAGCTCGAAAAGAGGAACTTCTTAAAAAACATGCAGACAAACTGAATGAGTGGCAAGGCCTGCTATCATCAATGCAGACTAGACTGGGAACATCTCCTTCTATAGGGCCCCGACCGCCAGGTCCCCCTGGCCCAACCATGCACCCAGGCATGATGGGCACTCAGACAAGCTCTCACAATGCTGTCCCAATGCCAGGTCTGAGCCCTGTGGGTGGTGGTATGGGGCAATCCCCAATGGGGCCTACAGGACCACCCATGCAACACAATATGAACAACCCTGGAATGGGAATGCCTCAGTCAACCATGATGCAAGCAAGTATTATGTCCAGTGTTGGCACGTCTTCCAGTATGTTATAGTGTAGAGTTTTCTCTCGGTAATATTATACATGGTTGATTTAGTTCAAACAAATTCTGAAGCTTGATCCAGATATGGAACTTATCATTTTATAACAATTAGTTTGATTCTACTGTATAATATATGCATACAGGTATCACACCTGAGGCATAGATGCCATATGAATTAAAAATCTAGATGCTTGTAATTGTTGTAACTATAGTATGTATATTTTATTACATTTATTGGAGTATGATTTAGGTTTTGCATGGCCATAATAGAGATAGAAAACACTGTCACTCTTTTTGCATGAGATAATAAATTTGTCATATATAAATAAATAAATATATATATATATATATATATATATATATATATATATATATATATATATATATATATATATATATATATATATATATATATATATATATATATATATATATATATATATATATATATATATATATGTGTGTGTGTGTGAGAAAGCTGCATGAACACGCAAGCCATATATCACTAAGAACTCTTTGACCTGGCCAGGATTCAAACCCATGCCGTCCAGGATCACCCCTAAACGTACACAGTACCGAGACCACCGCACCAATGATCGACGATCATTGGTGCGGTGGTCACGGTACTGTGTACGTTTAGGGGTGATCCTGGACGGCATGGGTTCGAATCCTGGTCGGGTCAAAGAGTTCTTAGTGATATATATATATATATATATATATATATATATATATATATATATATATATATATATATATATATATATATATATATATATATATATATATATATATGTCGTACCTAGTAGCCAGAACGCACTTCTCAGCCTACTATGCAAGGCCCGATTTGCCTAATTAGCCAAGTTTTCATGAATTAATATATTTTCTCTAATTTTTCTCTTATGAAATTATAAAGCTACCCATTTCATTATGTATGAGGTCAATTTTTTTTTATTGGAGTTAAAATTAACGTAGATATATGACCGAACCTAACCAACCCTACCTAACCTAACCTAACCTATCTTTATAGGTTAGGTTAGGTTAGGTAGCAGAAAAAGTTAGGTTAGGTTAGGTAGGTTAGGTAGTCGAAAAACAATTAATTCATGAAAACTTGGCTTATGAGGCAAATTTGGCCTTGCATAGTAGGCTGAGAAGTGCGTTCTGGCTACTAGGTACGACATATATATATATATATATATATATATATATATATATATATATATATATGCGAACAAGCCTGAATGGTCCCCAGGACAATATGCAACTGAAAACTCACACCCCAGAAGTGACTCGAACCCATACTCCCAGAAGCAACGCAACTGGTATGTACAAGACGCCTTAATCCACTTGACCATCACGACCGGACATAATGAGGTGATAGCCGAGGCTATTTGAACCACCCCACCGCCGGCACTCGGATAGTAATCTTGGGCATAGCATTTTACCAAATCACCTCATTCTTTGGGGCACACGTGAGGAACACAAATGCGAACAAGCCTGAATGGTCCCCAGGACAATATGCAACTGAAAACTCACCCCAGAAGTGACTCGAACCCATACTCCCAGAAGCAACGCAACTGGTATGTACAAGACGCCTTAATCCACTTGACCATCACGACCGGACATAATGAGGTGATAGCCGAGGCTATTTGAACCACCCCACCGCCGGCTATTTGAACCACCCCACCGCTGGTTCAAATAGCCTCGGCTATCACCTCATTATGTCCGGTCGTGATGGTCAAGTGGATTAAGGCGTCTTGTACATACCAGTTGCGTTGCTTCTGGGAGTATGGGTTCGAGTCACTTCTGGGGTGTGAGTTTTCAGTTGCATATTGTCCTGGGGACCATTCAGGCTTGTTCGCATTTGTGTTCCTCACGTGTGCCCCAAAGAATGAGGTGATTTGGTAAAATGCTATGCCCAAGATTACTATCCGAGTGCCGGCGGTGGGGTGGTTCAAATAGCCTCGGCTATCACCTCATTATGTCCGGTCGTGATGGTCAAGTGGATTAAGGCGTCTTGTACATACCAGTTGTGTTGCTTCTGGGAGTATGGGTTCGAGTCACTTCTGGGGTGTGAGTTTTCAGTTGCATATTGTCCTGGGGACCATTTAGGCTTGTTCGCATTTGTGTTCCTCACGTGTGCCCCAAAGAATGAGGTGATTTGGTAAAATGCTATGCCCAAGATTACTATCCGAGTGCCGGCGGTGGGGTGGTTCAAATAGCCTCGGCTATCACCTCATTATGTCCGGTCGTGATGGTCAAGTGGATTAAGGCGTCTTGTACATACCAGTTGCGTTGCTTCTGGGAGTATGGGTTCGAGTCACTTCTGGGGTGTGAGTTTTCAGTTATATATATATATATATATATATATATATATATATATATATATATATATATATATATATATATATATATATATATATATATATATATACATACACACACACACACACACACACACACACACACACACACATATACATATATAGTATACAAATAATGAAGCAATGCGCATGAGCGTGCAGGCCATACATCACTAAGAACTCTAAATGACCCAACCAGGATTAGAACTCTTGGCACTCAGAGTCACCCCTAAACATACATAGTACTGTGACCACCTCACTAATGATACAAGTCTATCATTGGTGAATTGATCACAGTACTGTGTATGTTTAGGGATGATCGTGAGCAACATGGGTTCGATTCCTGGTTAGGTCATTTAGAGTTGTTTGTGACGTATCTACATATATACGTACTGTGTATAGAAAAGATGGCTCCTCAGTTAATTATTGATTATAGGCTGAAATTTTTGTTTTTTAGATTAATATCTCATTAAGCAAAGGAAGGAATGCACTCTATTATTTAGAGAATTATAATACTCAAGTTCCATACATTGTGCTGTACAGTAGTTTGTCTGACAAATATATTTCGATGAAGCATAGTGTATATCAACCCCTGTTCCCTGTCAATAAAAGTTGTGTTATGATACATGCATCTTCAAGTATGAGCACTCTACAATTTCTTCTCCTATCAATAATCTTAAGTATAAAAGGAACCTAGAAGGTATCTGATGGATGGTTTAAAGTGCAAGTCTTGCAGCAGGTTTACCTGAGGTTGATTTTGAGAGTCTTTCTACTGTTGCAGATGGCCATAATGACAAGCCAACTTGATTATTTTGGCAATGTTCACATCTACATTACAATGATGTGTGTGGTTGTGTTTGGTGTGGTGTCTGGTATGGTGTATGGTTGTTTTTGTTATTGTATATTTAGTAGTGTTTGGTGTGATGTGTGATTTATATGGTTGTGTATGGTTGCTTTTTGTGATTGTATATTGTGTGCTCTGTGTCGAATATGGTTATAGAGAAACACCAAGATAAGAATGAAGTGTTTTGTAATTACATTTTACCTGTCGGGATAATGTTCAAACTATATTGTCAACTTGGTCAGATGCTAAACAGGACACACATAATAGGGCACCCTTATCAGAACCACAGATACTACCATCAAGTAAAATACTCAGTTCTTCCACGAATATGACAACTTTTTCATATTTGCCAACATCAAATCAAAACACGCAATACAAACAAAGTCCTCCTTATAACTGGCTTCTTAAATGCAATGTTCACATCTTTAACTGAAACTCACACTAAGGACTATTATGACAGTGAAATATAGATACCGGAGTACAATCTTTTCAGATGTGACAGGAAACACAGGCTACAGGGTGAGGTCAGCCTGTACGTCAAAGATGCACTCATCTGCACCAAGCTGTTAATCACCACAAATGATGTGGTGGAAGTGCTGTTAGCCACAATTGAAATTCTAAATGTGGGGATTGTCCTTGTATATATATAATCAGATGCAAAGCCTCAGCAGTTTAAAGACCTACTTATGAAAATAGAATACTGCTTAGAAAACCTCACAAGCCCTGCCCCGAACATCATCTTGCTTGGTGATTTCAACTTAAGGCATCTAAGATGCAAAAATGTGGCAAATACAGTACTGTTATAGCAAAGCATATCCCAGGAAGCAGTCTGAATGAAGAGTCTCACACAAATAATCTCTTGCAGATGTGTGTGACAGATTTGCTCTAAACCAGCAAGTAGTAGAGCCAACTAGGAAAGAAAACACCCTAGACCTTATTTTTACAAACAATAATGAGCTGATTAGGGACATAATGATCACAACTACTTGTTACTCAGATCACTACCTGATCAATGTTCAGACGAGCATGGGCAAACTCACTCACTCACTCACTCACTCACTCACTCACTCACTCACTCACTCACTCACTCACTCACTCACTCACTCACTCACTCACTCACTCTCTCTCTCTCTCTCTCTCTCTCTCTCTCTCTCTCTCTCTCTCTCTCTCTCTCTCTCACTCTCTCACTCTCTCACTCTCTCACTCTCTCACTCACTCACTCACTCACTCACTCACTCACTCACTCACTCACTCACTCACTCACTCACTCACTCACACACACACACACACACACACACACACACACACACACACACACACACACGCACACAGAGAGGTCGATGTGCAATTGACTGTACATCGACCTGTGCAGCCACTATCAAATCCAAGAGGAGAAAAATTCACCCAATTCCTTTTTAATATCAAACTGATTAACTGGGAACATATAAACCAAGACCTCGTAGAACAATGCTGGATAGAACAACTTGGTAATGTAGATTTAATCCCATGATTTGATAAAATAGGCACGTTACCACTAGAAATATGTAGAAATCATATACCTGTACCACTAAGAAAAAAGAAAAAATGCAAACTAGAACAGAAATGGTGCTCCCTCTATAGGTGAAGAAAACAATCAGCAGAACATCTCAAATGTTCCACTCTGTCCCAACAATGACAAGGAAGGCTATGTGAGGAAATAGAAATGATCAATCTCAAGCTGAAAGAATCATATAAAATCCAAGAGAGGCAAAGATAGCAAAAGA